TATACAACATGATCATAAAAATAAGTAAGCCTTATGCTATGAGCCGAGGGTCTATCGGGAACAACCTCTCAACCTTCACAAGGTAGGGGTAAGGTATGTACACGCCACCCTCCCCAGAACCCACTTGTGGATTACACTGGGTATGTTATGTTGTATGATCATAAAAAGAAGTAAAGGATGAAAGAAACAGACTTACCATTGTAGAACTAAATTTAACACAGCAAAGAGGCTCATATTTGATCTATCAGAAAAAGTCTAATCCACAATGGTTGCAAAAGGCAGAGGTCTTCCGTGTGAGAGCACATAAGAACCCACCTCACAAATTCCCTTGCCTTTGCCTAGCCAAGATATGAATCAGCTCAAAAACCTGACTTGCAAGCTTCCTGGAGAATATCATCATAGTCTCATTCACAAAGTTTGGGGTTTAGAATTTGGGTTTTTTTGGACAAATGTAGGGGGGCAAAAGTATCTGTTCTCTCTTATAGGGTTGTAAGCTTTCTCTTTATAACAAAAGAACTAGAAAATTCATTGGCTAAATTGAACTTCAGAGAAAGAGAGTAACCACCCTTAAGAAATCTCAACCTTTCTCGAGTTCCATGAAAAGCCTCATCCTTAGCACACAAACAGATATTTCGGAGGCTCAGATTCTCCTTTTCTCATTTTCTCAGACATACACTAAACATTGCCAGGCTCATTTTTTTTTGCCCGGGCCAACTTTCGCGCGCCTAGACTATAACTCCACAAGATACCTGTCACCTCCCATCAGCAACAGGTACCAAGTACCATGTAACAAGTAACACTGTCCACCAAGGCTAGGACACAAGGGAAGAGTCACCTAGTGTTTTCTGTCTCCACTGAGTATTGAACCTGAGAACTCAGTTCTCAACCACTTCATTGACCACTAAGCAGGCTCAGATCTGTGCAAAATGGGGCCCAGAGAGACGACAAAGCCCATGGCTGCAAAATGAACCGATCATATGATCCGAGTTTGCCCAGCCAAGATACAACTCGGGTTCTCTCACATGCCCCAAAGATCAGCCCAGATAAGCAATATCATCATTGCCTCTCGGATAATAGAAACTTTTGAAAGCAATTTGTAGACAGTTTCAAAACATAAAATGAACGGAGGGAGTACTATAGATATCAGCATCACATCAATGACAACAGTTATTTGCCTTCTTTATAGATCAAAACTAAACCAAACCATGACCACCCCAGAATATACCAAAGCGGAAAGAAAAGGAAAGCAGGAGGTTGTTGGTTTGGTTGATGGAGAAATCACAGGCCAACCAGAGAGAGCAACTACCCTCCAAGACATCCCTTTTTTCTCTGTTGGCCTCATTCTTACTTCAGCACAAATTGTCATTGTTGTGTGAAAGACTCCTTTAGGGCTCGGATTTTGCTAAAAATGATCATGAAAAGAGAAAGCAACACGTGCCATGGCTGCAGACACTGATTTGCATATGATGCCATACCACATTGTCCTGCCAAGTTACGGGTTAGGTTTTCTCAAAGCCGTAAACTAGATAGCACAGAAAGAAGCAATCATCACCATAGACATTTTCAGGTGATCTGGAAGATCAATAGTAGTTCCCTGTTCAAAATTTTCAGCAAAGGAATTTTGTACTTGCAGATTGGGATATGAGACTAGTGATGACTATAAGATCCTTAAGATTGATCAGACAGCACGCAATGAAATTCTAGTGCTTAAAAGTGGTTCCTGGAGAAAATTGATAAACATCCTACTGGCATTTACCCTGTGTTATCTAATATGGACTCTTTGGCATTCGTACATGGACCATTTCATTGGCTTGGTTTGTCAAAAATAATTTTGTGGTTTCATTTAGTATCTTAATGTCAAAAGTGGGATAAAGGTTTTGTGGTTATTCTATTTATACTCATCAGGGGAAGGACACTTTTAAGTTATGGGTAATGAAAGACTATAGGTGTCAAGTACACACCATGGCTGCAGTCATCCTGGATTTGCCAAGCCAAGATACGGGTCAGACTGTCCTCAATGCCCCAGAAAGTTGAACACATTATTATCATCACAGCCTCTTGCACATTTACTCCAAAGCGCAGGGAAACAACACAGACATACACACACTGAGGTCTACAGCTAAGCATGTGTCTAAATTTGTTTGTGTATTTCATGAACAAGGGTTGTTGATTTATAGTTGCTAAAAAGAAAATCATTGGCACAACAGAGAGGGGAAACCTTTCTCTGTTAATCTCATTTATCTTTATGGATTGACCTCTTTTAGGAGTTCTTGGCTCTCACCTGCAAATTTTACAACTTTTCTCTCCTCAGAGAGACACATTGGTACCACATACTGTATCCATCGTGAAAAATGTTTTCCATCATACCAAAGACTGCCTAAGAGTAAAGTTGAAGCTCAGATCTGTTATTAAGACAAGAAAATGAAGACATAGTCATGGCTGCAAACACCGGTTGCATGACACAAAGTCACTGGCCATCCGGATTGCCCCACCAAGATACAGGTCCTTCCATTTTTCTTGCCCGATTCATTTGCTCAGAGAAAGAAGTATCATCACAGCTTCAATTTTTGTGGGTGCAGAGATGAGTTTAGTACAACTCCTAAACAAGGACCATTTGAGCCCAAAACCTTATAACAAGAAGCAGAGTAACATTGGCCGAGTGATCAATGTTTGAACAAATATCACAACCAGCTGTTAGTACAATTTCCCTGAGATTTAAAGGGCTGTTTGATTTTATTCCATATGAGAAGTCACTGGAGTTGCAGAGAGGGGCAACCACCCTTATAAGAACTACTCTCTCCGCAAACCTCATTCTACTTTCTGAGCTTATGTATCATTTGCTTGTGCCAATGTAAGTCTTTTAAAATTTAAAGCACCAATCTTTCTAGTTTTCCATTGCTGAATACTTATTTACCACTTAGCTTGAAAAGGAAGGGTGTTTTGGTCTAGTGGTAGAAATCTGTGGCTCAGATTTTGCATTTTGGTCAGAGAAAGAGAAGGCAACCACGCCAACAACAACATACCCAGTGTAACCCCACATGTGGGATCTGGGAAGGATGGGGAGAGTAGAGTGTACGCCAACCTTACCCTTACCTCGTGGAGGTAGAGAGGTTGTTTCCGATAGACTCTCAGCACGAGTAAAGCATTTCAAAACAGTTTGAAAAAGGAAGAAGGCAACCACGCCATGGCTGCAAAATCACCAGTTGAATACACAAGAGGGGAATTGCCCTGCAGAGATACGGGTCAGATTGTCTCAAAGCCATATTTTTCCAGCCAGGATATTGAAACATTACCATCAATGCCTCTCTATTACTCACTGTTAAAGAGGAGAAGAAAACGTGTCAAACACATATACTCACAAAGAGACAATTATATGGCTGAAGCTGTAGATTGAAACAGATAAAGCTTAATGCATGTTTTTCCGTGATCGGAATGTCTATTTCTGTGTATTTTATAATCAAGGCTTGTTGGTTTAGTTGCTAAAGAAAATCAGTGGTGCAACAGACAACAAATCCCTTCTCTATTACCTCATTTCTCTTTCTGGGCCGACTTATTTATCAGGAAAATTCTTGGTTCTCACCTGAGAATTTCCCATCAGTTCTCTTCTTAGAGGAATGCATGAGAAACCAAATACTAATTTCATCAAAATAAATATTTCCATTCATATCAAAGACAACATAAGAGTAATATTGAGGCTCAGATCTATTGATAAGACAAGAAAATGGAGGCATCGCCACGGCTGCAAACACCAGTTGCATGACACAAAATCACTAGTCATCCGGCTTGCCTCGCCAAGATACGGTCTCTCTATTTTTTTGCCCTATTGAGTTGCTCAAAAAGAGAAGGGAAAAAAATATCATCATAGCCTCATATTCTTGATCTATATATCTATCTATCAACAACATTCACTGATAAAGCAAAGTGCTTTTGGTGTAAATGCAGACTTACAAGTTCTCTTAGTTAAAATCTCTCTGATATCAACTGTTGGTTTAGTAGCTACAGAAAATCATTGGCACACAGAGAGGGACAATCACCCTTGGAAGAAAATCCCTTCTCTTTATTAACCTCATTTCTCTTTCTGGGCCGACTTCTTTTAGGAGTTCTTGGCTCTCACCTGGAAATTTTACAAATTTTCTCTCCTCATAGGAATACAATGGTAACCAAGTGCTGATTTCATCTTGAAAAATGTTTTCCATCAACCAAAGACACCCTAAGAGTACAATTGAGGCTCAGATCCGTCGATAAGACAAGAGAATGAAGGCAACGCCATGGCTGCAAACACCGGTTGCATGACATAAAATCACTAGTCATCCGGATTGCCTCGCCAAGATACAGTCCCTCTATTTTCTTGCCCTATTGAGTTGCTCAAAAACAGAAGGGAAAAAAATATCATCATAGCCTCATATTCTCTATCTATATATCTATCTATCAACAACATTCACTGAAAAAAGCAAAGTGCTTTTAGCGTAAATGCAGACTTACAAGAACTCTTAGGTTAAATTCTCTGATATCATATGCTTGTATCTAAGAAACAGATAAAGCACCCAACTTTTTTGTGATACAGTTGAACTTCCCTATAACTCATCAGTACCACAAGTGGGGTCTGAGGAGGGTGGGGCGTACCGCGTACACAAACCACCCCTGCCTTTGTAAGGTTAGAGAGGTTGTTTCTAATAGAAACTCAGCTCAATAAAAGAGAAGGCAACCACGCCATGGCTGCAAAATCACCAGTTGCATGCAAAAGAGAGAGCCTTAGTTGCATGCCATCCCGGGATTTGCCAAGCCAAGATACGGGTAAGACTAACATTAGTAACCAAACACTGATGAAATTCATCATAAAGAGGAACATTTTACTTCATACCAAACAGCAAACACACCCTTTTAGAGTAACAATACAATACAATAGATAACAACTATCCAAACAAGCTAAAAGAGTAAAAATTGAAGCTTAGATAGTTGATATAACACAAGAGAATGAAAACATCGCCATGGCTGCAAACCTCGGGTTGCATTCCGGGTCGCCCCGCCAAGATACGGGTCTCTAAATTCTCTTGCCAAGTATCAATTGAAGCCTCAAAAATCACCCAAATTCAGTTCGCTCAAATACGAAAACATACCGATGATGCACAAAAAAGGTAATGAATTCGAGCAAGAGGCAAGATTAAACGAAGAACCAAAAGCACTGACCAGACAAAAGATGAAGGAGATATACATACATATACATACATAAAAGAGACGACCAGGGTTAGAACTCGGAAGAAACAAAAAGAGAAAAACATAAAAGACACAATTAAAGTTGTCCCGTATTTGCATAAAGACACCTTAACTTTCAAAGTGTCCTATCATCCCACAGAACTATTTAATATCGTTGTAAATGGGTCATTTTGACCCATTCCCTCTTCTGGATTGTTACCACGCACATGAGGCGTGTAATTAAGTGTTTTCACTGCCATGGACTAGTTTAAAAGTGCCACGTGTCATTTTCTTTCTTTATTATTAATTGTTTAATCAATTTATGTCATCTTCCCCCAATTTTAAACCCAAAATAGTCATTGGTAGCCTAATTTTTCGATTTCATGGTTTTTTCCATAGCAAGATCAAGTGATTTCAAACACCTCTCTCGCTCCCGCTTCTCCCTTGCAACCGCCTTTGTCCTTTCTCTGTTATCTTCTTCACTCCAACAACACTAAACCCCAATAAAACAAGAGATTTCAATTCAGTACACTTGCCCCTCCCGACTAGTAGTTGGTGTATGGAATACTGAAAAACAACACATTGCATTCCGTTTCTCTTCTTGAATTTGTGCGACTTGGAGTTTGACTGGATGAGCTCCCCTGCCTTTATTAGGTGAATTCAACCACTTTTGAATTTTGTTCAAAGAACAGGGTCGGGTCGGATTGAATTCTATCATAGGGAGTGAGCAACACGCGCGACTACATAAACGAGGGAATGGGTCAAAATAGCTCATTTATAAAGATATTAAATAGTTATGTGGGGTGATAGGACACTTTGAAAGTTAAGGTGTCTTTATGCAAATACGGGACAACTTTGATTGTGTCTTTATGTTATTAATTTCATGTCCCGTATCCACGTTGGAAAGTTTCACATTGGGTAAAGTGTTTCCGCGATTTCGTACCCAAGAACATTCAAACTCGATATTTCTTGGTTAAAGATGAAAAAATACTAGTGGGCATGGTATGGTATATACCGAATTATCATACTATATCGAAATTTTTAATACCGTAATTTTGATATTATGGTATATGGTATACATTTTAATTTTTTTAGTGTTCGATATGGTATTTGGTATTTAGAAATAACATACCAAAATATCAAATATCATACTGAAGTATATAGTTACATAAATAACATAGGGATAAGACACAAGTATCCCCTAGTCTATGACCGAAATCTCAGAGACACACATCAACTTAACATAGGTCCTATTACCCCTAAACTCATTTTTACGTATTTTGTGCTGACGTGGTACCATCAACAACCCAAGTTGGTTGTGTTTGTACACACTCGTTTGCCACGTGTATAAATCTTATTTTTTAATTTTATTTATAAAAAAAAAAAAATTGTTTTCATTTTTTTTTTTTTAAATAATCTTATTTTCTTTATTTTGTATTTAAATTAAGTTAATACACATTTTTTACCTTGTATCAATTGTTTTTTTACTTCATTCATTGTTTTTCTCTTTTATTTTTCTTTGATTTTATTTTCTTTGTCTTTCATTTTGATTTGATTTCAAATTATATCCAAATGTCTTGTATTTAAAATAAGTTAATTTTGAACGAATATGAAAATAAGTGAAGAAAATCAAATAAAACATAAAAAATTAAAATGTTAAAATTAAAGGACACTTTTAAATTATTGATTTTTTAAAATACACATAGTTTTTTAAAAATAAATTAAAAGTGAAATGATAATAAATTAATTAAAAAATGTTTAAAGTGAGGAAGAAATTCATATAAATATTTTTAAATAAAGAAATCAAATAATTATATATATATAAGTTTTAATATCAATAAATATGTGTATTAACTAATCATAAAGTTACCAATAAAAAAAGAGCAACTTTCACATATAACAAACATAAAAATCATATTTGTATGTTATAGCTATAGTTTGTATAATTGTGTTCCATAACAAACTTTATGTTTGCTATGGCTATTAATTTGTATATTTCGGTATACATATACATAAAAAAAATTGTATTTGGGTCTATTTGTATATTTCGGTATACAAATCGATCCTACATTTGTATATTTCGGTATACAAATGGGTCTTGCATTTGTATATTTGGTCTATTTGTGTATTTTGGTATACAAATGGGTCCTGCATTTGTATATTTCAGTACACAAATGGGATGGCAAAAAACATGGAATGTTTACTGCGAATTACAAATAAAAGAAACTATGGCTATAACATTGAATTTGAATTAATAGTTTGTTATTTCATACAATTTTCCCATAAAAAAATGACATGTGTACAATTTATGCACTCATCACTTGCCTTCAAAAGAGAGTGCACACTCTCTATGTCATGTCAGCGTTTGTGGTGTATTTATTCCATTTTAAATTAGCGCACGCACACGCACACACACATTATTATTATTAAAATACTAACAAATATGCAACCTAGTATTAATATAAATGTTTAGAAGTTGAAACTTTGATTACTCTATTTTGATTGCAATGTATTTGAAATTTAGGGCCCGTTTGGCTATGAGTTGTAAAATTATGATTTGAAATCATGAAGTTGAAGTTTTGTTGTGACATACGATTTGAACTTTTTATGTTGTATCTTTTCTGATGAACATAAGACCCCATAAGTTGTAAAACTATTAAAATCGTCCCAATTCTCTATTTAATCTTACCAAATAAGCACAAATTTATAAAATTGCATTAGTACACTATCACAAAGGTATTCTTAAAAAATACAATATTTATTAATCAAGTCTTTTTAGTTCAATAAAAAATTAAATTAAACATAAGTTATGATTTACTAGTCTTTAATATAATCTTCACACATAGTACGGACAATCTTCTCACGTTGAACTTGCATTTCTCGTTCATATGACTAAGAAGACGGAACCAAAATTGTTACTTTGAGTAATTTGTTGGTCAATTTGATTGATAAATATATTTGATAAAAAATAATAAATTTGGTGAATATAAATGGTAAAGTAAAAATTGATTTGAAGTTACAATAATTCTAGGTTAGTGAGAATATTCATTATATGAGAATTTCCTATAAGTGTTTGTGGTGAAGTATAAGATTTGGTGAATTCAAAACAAGTGTTCGTGGAAAAAATATTTTTCGTAAAATTTCCAACAAATTTGGACCGGAGAAAATAGCGATTTAGGTAGGAGGCAAGTATCTGAAGCAAAATATTCCAATCTCTCATGACCTATTTGACTATTGACTCAATATTGTTTTATTTTCAAGTTAAAGCTTGACAATGTAGAAGTGCCCAAAAGCAGGTGAGCTGTGTTTTCAATAGGAAAAATAGGTATATATATATATATAATATACAAGTTAAGCAACTAAAAATTAAAAAATTACTTTAAATGAAAAAAAAGTAAATAAAGAACAAATAATAAACTAAGTCAATATGTTAGTTGCAAAATACGTTGGGTTAGGTACAACGACCCTATGGAGAATGTCCAACAAATCCATTGAAAGTTGGATGAATGTGTCAAATAGAAGCAATTAATTAAGCAATTTATATACGTTTTTTTTACGTAATTGAGGCCATTATAAAATTTTATTACCCATATATATATAGGTAGAGTTGGAAAAAAATCGTTTTTGTTTTTATATCCCGGATGGATATATCTAGTGGCTAGTGCATTAGTTACATGATGGAATTTAATAACTTCGGTTCAGATGAACCGAAGTGCACAAATAATTAATTTGGGATTATTGTTAAGTGATATTCGTAGTGTATAAAAATTTACAAGTTTACTCATTTGGAACAATATCATATAAGCTTGTCTGAAGTATTATATAGCCAAAGTTTTAGATAAAAATGATTAAGCTTTAGTCATATGCACATGAACTTTAATTTATGCAAAAAGTAATGAATTCAACAGCATAAATTAAACAGAAGTTTTGACAAAGATAGCTAAATTTTGGCCATATATGCATGAATTTCAGATAAAAGTACTCATTGCATTCAGTTATATATGATTGAAACTCAGATAAAAATGAAAAGTTTTATACATGTGTTTAAAATTTTAATGACTTAACTTTAATCGTATAAAACGCTTCAAATATCACATGTGGGTAATTGTTTCAAAATGGATACACGTGCAAAATTTTAAACAAATTGGGTACAATATATGATTGATGGTGTCCAATTAGAATACTCCATAAAAATATTACAATTGAGACGTCATATATATTAAAAATTCAACTAAATTAGTATAAAAAGTAGAATTTTAACTAACTTGAATTAAATAAATTATAATAAAGTATCAAAGTTAAATTTATAAAATCCAAAGTTTTATATGTGCCTCTATTTATTTCTATAATAATATATATTAGATGTGTAGTTGTCAATTTCAAATTAGACATAATTATATGTTCATGAGAAAAAGAATAGTCGGGAAAAAAAGGTAAAGATATACACATATTTTATTGAATTCAATTTTTATTTTTATTTTGTTAATGAATTCAAACTTCAAACACACCACATGCCATGAATTATTGAGTTTAAAACCATAATAATTGACAATTTATAAAAACTTTGTGATTTTTAGAAACTTATAAAATTACACAATATGACCTTGATTTATATTACAAGACAAACATTATCACTCAAAATATGGTGGGATGAATGAGATAAAAAAACTCAATTTCAAACTATGAGAATGAAAAAAATAAAATACTATTGATAGATACAAGATACTTATCCTTAATTAGTCGTATATAGTCTGAATCTAAATTAACCAAGTCAATAAATTTTAGTGATAATTATTTCTTTTTTTTTTATAAAAAGTTCAAACTGATTAATTAAGATATTATCATTCACGAGGTGCAAAACATGAAACTATAAACATGTCTACAAAAAACACATAAGCATAACCCCAAATATGACCTTAGTTTACAAAAAAACACATAAGCATAACCCCAAATATGGACTTAGTTTATGTTATTAATTAAAATTTTCAAATCCGACTCAATAGAATAAAAGATATTTCTAATACGATGTACTTT